TTTTTCTCTTTGATTTGGATTTCATAATGAAATAACCCGGTGTTTGACCATTTTTTTTTTGTGTTCAACGATCTTTTGCTCCATATGTCGTGGCGTCTTCTGGAAATGAGAAGTTTTTTTATTGTACTTGTTGCTTAGCCTTCTAATGGTTTTTTTTCCTTTGAAAGATTGTGTCGAACAATCGAAGTGATTGTGCGTTGAAAATGGTCATTTCGACCATAAGTCGGTCATTTCTTTTGATCTTATTTATTCCTTTCATATTAACATTGCTATCTATTCATGTTTCTAGTTTAAATTATCGCTTTCTATTTATATTCGCAATACAGACACCAACGATCTCGAGTGTTCTTATCAATTTTATTATTCATATTTGACTCATTTTCTTTTTTCGGCAACCATTCATTTGTCTCTTAACCCTTCCATGCAAACGGCCGTCTATATATGTACTGAATGAGTGCGCTTCTAAAAAAACTTCTACAACATTCTATGATTTTTCGATAATTCATCAGAAAAAAAAAACTATTTTTTTATAAACACTGAAATCAGCAAAAAGATGACGCGTTAATGGAATCAATCCCCCTCTCTTTCACACTGGTAAATGAAATAAAAATAAAACCCATTCCGGTGTGAACATTCCAACGGTGTTTGTTGTCTATTTTTTTTTTCTCTTTAACTTCAACCAACGATAAAATTTATCGATCCAATTGACGCATTTAACCAAATTTATCTTGCTTGGTGTTCTCTTATCAAACATCCAATCTGTTAAACTGTTATCGCGCCAAATGCAAATATACAATTAATTTGCGGAAGCCAAAGTGATTCGATCGACAAAAATGTTGGCTACCGTTTGTTTCATATAACTTTGATGGCGAAAAAAAAAGAGTAATAATTATTACTATTAATAGCGTCCACCACATTTGTACATACCTAAAACGTGTTTTATAGCCTTTTAATACATGCTCAAAATGTCGGCAAATGTTCCCCATTTTTTTTTCTCAATTCAAAATAAAAACAAATTTTCGCTGTGAATAAATTATTTTTTCTCCCAACGAAACCATACAGATAAATCCATTCCGTTGCTATTAAAAACTATTAATAAATGATTGAACATTTGCGGTAAAACATATTGCAATTTGAACGTACAAACATGAATTTAACGATACTATCTCTCTCTCTCTCTCTCCCTCTGTTTTTTTAATGAATAGATACATTACGATGTATGCATTCAATTAAAAACGCTTGTGTTTTTGCTCCATTTTATTTATCCATTTATTCATAGCCAAATGATAGTTCAAATGCAGCCCTTTTATTCTCGTTTTATCATGGTCCCATCCGCTACGTTTTGCTCTCCTTTCAATATTCGAGGGAAGTTCATGGGCTTCCCGTGTTTACACAAAAATAAACTATTCGCAAAGTTTCGATGTGAAAGAGGGGATTGCCATATTATTAGTGTTTGGAATTCGTAGCGATGCAGTCAAAAGTTCAAATTGCTGATTGATTAACGAATGAATAATTTGTCTCAGATACAACACAATTCCAATTTAATTCAATACACTTTTTTCTGTGTTGTTGTTTTTTTTTCGTTTTAATTAATCGTTTATCGCTAAAATCGTTGACTCAGAGACGATTCAATTAGAAAACACTCGAAAATCAATAAACAAATGCCAACGAGAAAAAAAGTACTACCGATTACTATAGTGTAGTTACTGAAATTCAGGGACCGGTTCGCGCATATTTCTATGCAAGATAGCTATGCTAAGCATAGCGGAGACTCAAGACGCAACGCATCTGTCGCCATTCGATTCGAGCTATATCTTATGCGTACGTCTCTCAAAGCACGGCCGCCTGCATACACGAACATGTGTATGTTCCAAGGGGGAAAGTACTAATATTTCAATGCAATCTAATGCGATAAAAATTCAGCTAATGCAAAAGTAATGCCAAATAATGCAAAAATAATTCTTCGTAATGTTAAAAAAATCCAACAGAATTTAAGTTCTAATCGCAAATATTTGAGAAAAAAATCTTCAGTTAAAATGTTAAAACAATACTTGAAATAATTTGTTCGAATTTGTTTTATTAGTTGTCATCGATGTCATGTAGAAAAATGTACAGCTCAGTTCAAAGAGTTGTCAATTTTGGCGGTTGAAAGAGAGAAACAATAAATACACACAAACATAACAATACATGCGCGCACTACTCAGCTTTGCCTCTGTGATGTAAAATGTAAACGTTCATGTGATGTTTGTGCGGCTGTGCGTGTATTGCTTCCCTCCCACAACACTTAGCTACTCGTTTCCACTGTATACTTTGCATCATAACATCAACTACAACGAACAACATGTGCCCAAACAAATTATTTGAATTGTTTTAATATTTTGAATGTGGATCTTTCTATATATATAGCCGAGATTAAAATTTAATCTTGTTAGGATTTTTTATTTAAAATTATGAGAAATTATATTGACATTATTTGGCATTATTTAGCATTACTTTTGCATTAGCTGGAATTTTATCGTAGTAGAATGCATTTAAATTTTAGTACTTCTCCCCTTGGTATGTTCATACAGAGTGGACGGCGATGCGTCGGTTGCATTTGCCGCTATGCTTGGCATATCTATGCTACCTAGCGTATCTAGGCAAGTATGGAAATATGCACGAACCGGTCCTTGCTGAAATTCTTCAAACAGAAAATTTAATCCAGTTTTTGTGGAATTATTCTGTAATGTATGCGGTGGTTTTCATTATACTCATTTGGTGAACTTTACCATTTCGCAACAACCCCAAATGTTTCATAGTAAATTTTATCTGTTCGTTCGCCGTATTCTTTTTGTAGTTGTCATCGTGATTTTTATTCACAAGAGTGTGAGTGTGTGTGTGTGTGTGTTGGCAAACGCATTTCAACTGTAATGTTTTCGAAAATCATATAAATTCTCGGCATAAAAGTTGGACCAATAAATAATGTAAAAAAGCAATCAAAGTTAGTAGTTTGTACAGCCATATCACAGTAATTCAGTGTGCGTGTATATTGAAAATGCCTGCAATATGGACATTGCCGAGTCATTCTATTTTAAAAGAGAAAATACGTCATAGAGTCATGTGTATCCGTATATTTGACTCTCTTTCTTATTCTTTTGCTCTATTTTCCCAATCAACGAAAGTACAAAAATATAAACTTGAGAAGAACAAAAAAAAAAACATAATACAAAACATCAATGACGATATCAACGTTGACGACGCAACAACACTATGGATAACACAAAGAGCCGATGTAGAACTGAATGATTATGATTTGTATCGGTACCATATTTTTTTTGCATTCAAAAGTCGTTCATAATAAATTTTTTTTCGGAGGCAAATGTCCATGCCGGATCATACACATCCGCAACTACTATTCTTTTGAATGGAGCAAACGTTGTTTTTTTTTCTCTGCTGTAATGCTATCACAAAATAGTGCAAATACTTTATTCTTGTTCTTGTTCGCATGTTGTTGGTTTTGCGTAGTTTTTAATTGTGTGTGTTGTATTTGAATAACTGCTTGCAAACTTTTCCGTTGCCTCAATCAAATGCCGATCAGTCAATGTTTTGAATCGCTTAACAAACAAAAAAGAGTAAATGCATTCTCAATGAAATCTCATTAAGCCGTCAACTCTTGGATGTATTTCAATTCGCACAGAACAAATCTCTCTCATTATAACCGTATCTCTCAGTGAGAATCTTGTGTTCACTGTTTCTCTCTCATTCTGTCTGTCTCAAGTCTATCGATATCTGTATATCATAGTTCTTAGCAAAATACACATTCAAATACGCATTAGCTACGCGGACTAAATCAAGAATACAACAATGTCGAAAAATAAAGCGGTTCTCATTCAATGTGGTTCACTATTTAAGTGCACACTATAACATACAAATTGCCTGTCAAATACGCATAACAAGATAGAAAGAGAAACGAACAACAACAACAACATTTCATTCGTTCTGGTGTGCGCGGTGCATTTCGTGAGTCTATGTATCAGGCTCCCTTCGCCACGATTCATCGATGCCATCGAATTGGTTTCGATGCTCGAATCATTCACGATGAGCATCAAAAAAAAAAAAGCGAAATCGATCTGATGTGATCGACTGAATTGTCGCAAATATACTGGGGGGTCTGGCGCTTAGACGTTTGCATACAATCACACAAACCCGAGCAAGTCACCAAAAACTATAGGCAAAATATAAAGAAGCAGAAAAAATAATAATAATAATAATAAATAAATAAATAAAGGAACGAAACACACAAGAGACATACAACACAGAAATCGTATGTATTGTCAACAGTGTCTCACAGAGAGCCACAGTAAATACAGACAACGTACGCAATGAAAATGCATTGCAAGAACGAGAATGAGATAGAAATATTTGAATGTTATGTATGTATGTGTGTTGTGTCTCTTTCTAGCTTTCTTTTTCTCGGTTCTGTTGTGTCGTGTGCTGGCGATGGTCATAACGCCAGAGAGTTTTGAGTTAATAGCACTGAACATATCTCTCTGTATGTCGCGCGCCGCTATGTTCCGACTCTCTCTCATATGCACAATCACCGAATACGACTAGCAGAGACGGCAAATATAATATTCATTTGGTATAGCAGCACACCATAGCGTTTACTCTAGCAGCAACAGCAACAGCAGCATACACAGCACAGAGCAGTCGGGCAGAGGCACATATCGAATGTGCCGAACACGAAATGTTGAAAAGGAAAATGCGAGAGAGTAAGCAGCAGAATTACAACAACGATAACATACACAGCATACACACAGAGAGCATCGCAATGCGTGTGACAAAGCAAGTGATAGCGTTAGAGTGAGAGAGAAAACCGAGCGCAGACCGTAGTAGCTCGGGCACACTAAGCGCACGCTACAGATGAAAAAGAAGAAGGAACATAACATACAGTGAAAAAAAAATCCCCATTTAAACCACTTTGGTTTGACTTTTCGTGTTTAGTATGAAATTGTTGTTCACTTGTTTCACTTCGTAGTTCGTGCCCGTGTTTATCGGCGATCTGTGTTTGGGAAAAACTGTGTGTACGACGACGACGACAACGATAACAACAACAATACAAACGACGACAACGACGACGCGGTAAATCAGTGCAAATGATTGTAAATCAGTATAAATGATTGTCATTCTCTCTCTGTGTACGAGATTTTTGATTGTAAATTTTCATTTGTTCGGCACACATCATTTTTCGTTTCAATTTTTTAAGAACTCACAGATGAGACAAAAACTAAAGGGAAAAAATCGGTTTTCTTACTGTTTTTAATTCATTTCTATTTTTTTGATGTTGAGTTTTTTTTTTGTCTCAAAATTAATTCGCTCAGCCCATAATTCGTTCGAATGATAATAACAAATATTTTGTTTGTTGCTGCACACGCTATGACTACTTCTCTGGGTTGCGTTTAATTAATTTCGCAAGTTTACGAAACTGTGTGTGATTTGATCGAATAGAATTTGGCGCGATTAGACGACATTTAAAAAAGCTTATCATAAATAAGGAATAAATCGAAATTGTGGGAAACGATGATGACGACGACAACAACAACGGCAACGATAATGAGAAAAGTTTCATGTCTTTTTAATTTATATATCAAAAGAGAGTTAAAAGAAAGAAAAAATTTGCGGCCCGAATCCCGTCTCTTTCTCTCTAAAGATGCTTCAAGTATGTGAGCCAAGACCAAACGAAGCGAACAAAAAGCGAAAACAAACGAACGAACTGAAATAAATGATCACAAATTGATTTTGGTTTTGTTGATTTTTTTTTTTCGTCTATACATATTATATATAGCATGTATATGTATAAATTAAGCCTTTCTATCTGTTGTGCTCTATCGCTTGAATAAACTGCTATCATGAACAATATTTTATTAGAAACACAACGGATTTTGTTGAAAAAAAAAATATGTTTAACTTCTTCTTTTTCTTAAAGTTGTGTGTTTTTTTAAGTTGTTTTGTTTCATGACGATCTTCGATAGCGTAAGAGATTCGATACGATCATCATCTATCGTAATCAAAAATTCAATAATGTGCTGTTGTTGCGATCAGTTTTTTTTTGCATTATGCGATCATAGTTTTAGATCCTATTTCGTGTGTGAGTGAATCAAACCGATTTTCTAGTTCAATCAATATCTTTTCGTGTATATATGTGTGTTTTTATTGCAAGTTTCATTTACACACAACGGTGGCAATAAAAGCACAAACAATGTTCAATCTTATACCAAATCATTCAAGTCGGCTTGAACCGTTATTCTTTTTTTTTTTTTGAGAAAATACACGGCTGATAAGTGTCTCCGTTGATTCTCGTTCTCTCAATGAATTCTGTTCAATGATTGTACAGAGTAGACAAAAATACTTAAACCGACAACAAATCGTTCTCGTTACGACAAAAAGAACGGATCTTTGACTTTTTTCGTCGTTGTTGCATTTTTTCGGTGTTTTAAATCGTTAGTTCAGAGCTCAATTCATTGCTATATCATCAATGACATTCGTTGGTTCATTCATTTTATGAATGTTGTGACAGAGCTGTGCCGTATGACACAAGGGATATGACATTTGACTATTCACCTTTAGTTTTTTTTTCTAGTTCGCATTCTGTCATTTGTGATGTTTGTGGTTTGTTTTGACGCCAATTGTTATTGACATGTATAATAAATTTGTGGCGAGATTTTTTTTTATTCATAATTTTCCACTTGATGCATTACAAGATGATACGCAAAATATAAAATTTTAATGAACGCAACTTATAAACAGCAACGAAATAATAATATAACGAAATTTCATTAAAAAAAATAACGAAATTGGTGCGTGCCATTTATTGAAAAATCTCAAAAAAGAATCGTGAAGTGCATAAAACGAAAAAAAACCCCACATATTCAGTCGATTTAGTTTTAAATGAGCAACACTTGGTTTTATTTAGCTACCGATAATAATGAAGGTGATTCGAAAACGATTGAAAGGCTGTGTCCATTTAATGAAGTTCTCAATCAAACTAGAAGTTTTTTTTCTCGAAACTTATTCCTTGTTTGCTGATTGATGCGTTGAATATGTTTCACATTCAGCATCACTCTTCTTTCCATTTCTTGTTCGACGCACACCAAAAATGATCGTAATATTGGCAGCAGGAACAGTAATATAGGAAAAAAGAACACTCTTTTCCACACTTCGATCAATCGCGTAAAAATCGTTTTATTGGGATAAATAAGAGCGTAGCGCAACGTAGCCAAGAAAAAAATAAAACAAATCTATATGGCCAATCAATTAACAGAATTTGCGTGAAATGAATGTGTAGCCGTCGTTGTTGTTGTCGTCCGTGGTCGCCGTCGTCGTAACATATTCACTGAAAAAATGTATTTTTTTTATATATATAGGTATTTTCATGTGCATCGCGAGAAAATCGCCACTAATTCAAGTTAAACGGAAGAAATTTAAACAACAAATAAATTAGCGTGTGTGCGTCGTGGTTTTTTTTTTGCGCCCAGTCTGCGATATGTGGTGTGTTTACACATGATGTAGAAAAAGTAAATTAAATAGAAAAAGATAAAAGTAGGAGATGGAGTATAAGCGCAATAGACTTTTGAATTAACGCTATATAAGTTTTCCACTTATGATCAATAACACACATATGCACACAGCAAGTGTGCGACCGTTTTGAAAGCAAAAAACTCTGATCGAATGAAGCTAAACGAATGAAAACAAAACAAAAAAAAATATTGTGAATATATGCATGCACATATTAAATTGAAATTTGAAAGAAGAAAAAACAACGACGAAAAAATTGAGAAAATCAAATACAAATAATGTTTCAAGATAAATCTAATAATGATAATATGGTTTGAAAGCACAAAAAAAACGATACGCGAAAAACTACACCATCGAAGAAAATTGTTTCTTTTTTTTTCAATTTTCGTGTTGTTGTTGGTAGGCAGAGAAGCCTTCATAAGTTGCCTCGTGAATGCGCGTCATAAGTAATGCTTTTCATTTCATCGATTCAAGCAATATAGAGAGAGATTGTGGAGACAAGAAGCAACCGAATCAATTGCAGCCAGAAACCAACAACAAAATTCACCCCGAGGAAAAGTTGAAACTACTTGCATTCGAGCCCGAAAAAAAGAGCCATTAAACGCATTAAAATTGAACACGCGTTCAGTGCATTTGATATAAATAAAAATAACAACAACGGCGCAACAATAATATTTAATAACAAATCTAGCATCTGAAATGTGTCTATAGTGTGCATATGAGCCCGCAGCAGCTATAACGACAGAAAAGAGATAGAGAAAAACACAAAATAAAAAACTACACACGGCAAAGCAACAGCATCAACAAATGCATAAATGGACTATCGAGATAAATATAATAAAACTAATTGTAAAAACGATTCAAATTGAAAGAGTGTGTATAAAGGAGTGAACGCGAGAAAAGATAGACAAACAGCAACAACAACAAAAAAACTTATATTCATCATCATCATCGTCGTTCAAATAATTAAAAAAAAAAACAGCACCGCCAAAAGATTCTGTGGAGTTTGCCGTCGCACTAGCACACACCAGTGTGTGCACCAGTATCCGCGCCACAGTTTCTGTTTTGATATTACTCCGGATAGTAAATCGAATGACAAAAAACGGCAAGCAACAACAGTAGTCACCGTCGGTAGTTTTATTGAAAACAACACATCAAAAATGAGCGAAGAAAATATGAAATAAATAATAATACAACAATTGTCGCACCGCTCTCCTCAGTTATACACGACAAATAACACACACAACTGAGAAGAAAAAAGAACAAAAAAAAAAATACAATTGACGGCTTGACAAAACAGTAAAACAATAACTGGAAGAAAAGGTAAGTTTCCTTGTAACCACAAGAATTTCTCATATATGTACAATCACTAACGATAAGTTACCATCAAACAAACGAGTGAGAAAAAAAAATTGTCGTTCAATCCAAAGTCGATGAACACTTGTGTGTCTACTCTACTGTTCTAATCGATTTCTTTTAGTGCAGCTTAAATTCATTGACTGAAAGTCCAATCAATAGACTTATTTCACATCATGACAATCCAAATACAATTGACATTTCGATTTCGACTTATTTTGTTGTGGAAATATTTGTTAAAACCCTATTCCGTGTCGATTTATATTCAAAATGAAATGATTTATGTGATTTTTTTTATTATCTCCGTCTCTTTCTCTCACTCAGTAGATACGGATCGTTGATTATTTTCTTAATTTAGTTTGGTGACTAAAAAAAAGCATTCCTAGCACTATTTAAAGAGTAAAATAAAATAAATTCGTAGTTGGTAATTATAGCGATTAAGAGCTCTGTCATCAAATCACAGTGTATTTGGTTTCATAAACTATAGAATGAAACTCATGAGCATATACTTGTGGTTCGAATCTTCCGAAAAATATAATGACAACATACTTTAATTTTTTTTTTGTTCAAAATGGATGTATGCATCAAAAATTGTTCTTACTTTCAAGAAAAAATGGTATGTGTACAATGCGCGCCCAGATATTCATGTTGCAAATTTTGTTTTTGTATGCAACAATGTTGCATTATTTCCATGCTTCATTTTAACGATGGAAATTTAATAATGTGACATTATTCACACCTTTGAAATTAGAACTGTGCATTTTAACAAGCGCCTCAATTAATATAAAAACATTGTATTTGAATCGCTGGAATTAAAAAGTAAATTTGTTTAAACATAAAAAAAATATTGCAACACATACAAATGTTATTTATACGTTTCTAAAAGATGTTATCCCATTCAAACGATCCATTTGTTCGCTTTTTTTGTTTCTATCTCTCGTTCTATCTCTCTTTATTGACGATCCAATTCACCGAGCATGTCAAATTCAACAGACACACATTTTCTCTATATGCGCATACACACGGCCACATGATATGCATCATCATATGGACGAGTAATCCCGATCGCTCAACGTCTCTGCCTCCTTTGATTCTTAAAAAGAAACAGCAAAAGGTTCACGCGGGTCGTACATTTTCATTATCAATTGCGCGTTGTTGAGTGTTAATCAACAAATACAACACTTCCACATACAATAGACATATCGGAAGCCGCACATATATAATTGTTTCGTTTTTTTTTTCCTTGCTGGTGCTGTTATTCGAATTGTGTATTTTGAATCGAATGCTCGTTCATCTCTATATTTGCCGGGGATTGTGTAAAGCAAGCAAAGAATTCTCACTTGTTCGAGAAACGTTTCGTACGACAGCGGACAGAGGAATAAGAAGTGTACGCGTTTGATACGCATACGTTGAATTGAAGAAAAAAAAGAACTGTGATTGTTAATCACGTCGCGTTGTTACTAAATTTAAAATATGTATGTGAAAAGTGATGATAGTGACTTTTTTTTTGACGTACAAATACACCAGCAAACATTCTTGTGAGAGTCCCTTTGACAACTGATTTTATTTGCAAACTTAAATCCACATAGCATTTCAATTGCTTTCAATGAAAATAGTTTTTTTTGGCCGGAACTCGGATATAAAAGTGTGTGTGTGTTTTTTGGCTTGTTTATTTTATCGCAGGAAAACAATGAAGAAATCTTTAAATGTCCTTGAGATTTTTATCCAACTAAATTTGAACAAAATATATCACTATTGTGTACAAATTGATTTCCGCCTAGTTTTTACAAAGTAGTTTTAACATTTCATATGCAGTCAAACTTCATTTTGTCTACGTATAGAAGGCGCTGCGAACAAAAACATTTCGAAAATTGCACTTTTGGTCTTTATCCCAAAAAATGACCAAACATTTCGACACCAAAGCATTTGACACGTTCACTAGTTTCAACGCGGTCAACAATGACCCGAACTATTAAAATAAAAATGAGAAGTGATATCACTATTTCTGATTTCATTAAACATACTAAAATGAAAAACGCTAAAGTTTGTAACGCACCAAAGTTCACAATAATGAATGCCAATTGAAACAACCAAAAAAGCACACAAAAGTGTGAATACAAAGATGACATATCCTCTATAAAGTACTATGTGTATATTCAGTATTAAAATTCACTTGTTTGATAGCACATTTTAATGTTCATTTCGATTTCCTTTTATTTTATTCATTTCTTCATCATTTTCGCTGACTGTGTTAGCTTTTGCATTGATGTCGTCGTGCGCGTCCGCCACATTTTCTCTCTCTCTCTCTCTCTCTCTCTCTCTCTCTCTCTCTCTCTGAGTGTTGAATCATTGGTTGCACACAATCTTTTTCGCTCTCTTCGTTTTTATTCTTCGCTCGGTATAAAAGCAGAGCATTTTTGTCGTGATTCGGTTTATTTTTGTCAGTTGTTGATTGTTGGCAGTTAATTCATGTGATATCTTCATTTTTATATGCCTTGGCAATTCATCAGCTCATAGATTGAACGTTTGTTTTTCCCATGATGGACAGCGTACATCATTTTCGTCGTATGTCGTTCGCTTTTCTCATCTTCTCTACTTTCTTACTACTTCTTTATTTCTTCATCACGAATTTTTTTTTTATTGCTTTCTCGCTGTTTGCCCAAATCATCTCATGTGGGGATTGAACAATTTTCCAACATTTTATTTATCGTTTCGAAAGCCCTCAATCGTATCGTATACGAGCAATTTGTAGTGCCGGATAAAAAAGGGTCGTGATACGAATCACTTACAAACTATTCGATTCAGTTAGTATTATTTGGTATTTGTTTTTTGTTTTCGACTTTATTGACCTACTGTGGGCCCCGTACACATGTCGAAAAATGCCTTTGACATCGCCGATGTCATTGCTGGCCATTCTAAGAGATAGAGAGAGAGAGAGAGCAAAAATCTCACTCATCTTCAAATGACACCGCTAGAGAATATTCAACCGAATAGAACGTCGTCAAATTTACAGAAAAAAATGGATATATAGAGCAACAAGAACTCATCAAGTAATAATCATAAATAAGTAGAGTAAATAGCATCGACGACAGCTTTTTACATTTAAACACACGAGCACGCAACTCAATTTCCATTCAAATGAAAGTATTGTTGAATATTTCAAGCGCGCCAAATGATGAGACGAATAAATTTATTACAACGTATCTAATAGGGTGTATCGATAATAGAGGAAGTGAGCATTTCTTACACGCTGGAATCTAATAATCCAGACTGTTTTTCCCGAAAAAAATTGTTTGGGTCCAAGGAACCTGTTCATTCACTACTTTTAAATGTTACCAAAATAGATTTATCATGAAAACTCACTCAAAAAAACGTTGTTTTTGCGGAAAAATGGCGTGGATCATTTCTTTTCATCAATCAGCATTGGTTTATATCGGCGTCTAAGTAATTCTCAATTCCTCTATTATCGATACACCCTAGTAACTACACACATTCCAGATAGAACTCGGTTGGTGTAAGTGTGTGTGTTTGCAAGCATAGAATCAGAATAAAATTCATTTTTGAAAATGTTGAAAGTATTGCCATTTCGTAATGTCATTTTTCCTTTTATTTAAATAATATTTTCGGAACTTTTATGTCCTCGACCAAAATGACAGCGATGACTAATTAGTCATATTCATCATGTTCTAAATCAGAATTCATAAAATATTCGTACGCATCAAAAGAATCATGAAGCATTTGCAGAGGCGATGAATCTCTATGCAAAAATGAGAAACAAATGAACAACAGCTTACGGTGAAACATTATAAAAGCCGTGAACCTTATTGAAAATTGTTGTGTGTTTTTTTTACTTCTCTTCGCCATTCGGCAGCCGATTAAGTGAGTTGAGATCTCATCAAATGGCATTGAATATTACACAAATCGAGCGATGTGTGCTCTTGTGCGGTGCGGCTCATCGGAGCGTATGCGCTCTCTCTCTCTCTCTCTCTCTCGGCTATTTCCATTTTCTTTCATGACCGCTTCTCTCTGTTTAGCTTTCTCACTATAAGTGAGAATTTATCGTTCTGTCACTTGCCGAACAGCCTACAAATTGCCTCTTCCTTTCGCGTCGTCTTTTTCATTTGTATTTTCTTTCTCTCTTTAAATATTGTTGTTGTTATTGTTCGATTTACTCATGCAATGACATTTATTAACGCAATCTGGTAATCTGAGTGACGGCGTTGATTCATCAACATTTCCGAAATGATTATTATTGGTCCGGCTTTTAAATGAAGCTGTAAAATATGTTTGTTTTATTTTTAGTTTTATATTAAGAAAGAGTGTAAAGTAAAGATAGAGAGAGAGATGACACGAAATCGAGTCATTTGAATATGATCCGAACCACGTCGAGACGAAATAAGTCAAAACGCAGCTGTTCTACGGAGCAGAAGGAAAAACAACTTCTATGGAACTAGACAATTCACCCAAAATTGACCTAGTGCGAGCAAGTACACTGGTCAAAAATATCACCATAAATGATTTTTCGTTTCTTCCTTTTCGTTCTCATTGTCATGAGAAATAACACGTCGAAATCGTTTCTTTTAAATTACTTGCGATAAACAGACAAAGCCATAATTACTCACGAAATAGTATCGTTTTTGTTTATCGGGTGCTGCCGTAAGTAAAAACAACTGATCACACATCCATTCACATATCATTTAGTATAGTATTATTTTTGGTTGCAAATAAATCGCGTGCAATGCACATCATGTGGTCAAAAAAAACAAGTTGAAATAAATATGTGGATGAATCATTCATTTCACTCAAATGTCGATCGAAACTGGCTGCTTGCCGCATTTTTCTCTCTCTCTTTCTCTCTCTCTCGTTTTAAGAAGCAAAAAAAAAAAATGGAATATGGCAAAATGTTGGTAATGTTGTTTGTTATTTGTTTGCTGCTGGTTTTTTTCGGAAATACAATCGAAACATAT